TCCATTTACACCATACTCATTCAAATATGTTAAATACCGCTCTCTTAACCTTTGCAATTGTATGACTTGAAAAGACTTTGCCGAAAACATGTTCGTCAACCCATCTGTGTTCTTATTATAAATGGGAATTTTCGGAATACTACGTCTCCTTATTTATCATACTATGAGTACGAAGTTTGTTAGATGGCCCTACTTGTTCTGAGACTTGCAGCAGAGTCATTTGGAACCGCCTTACAAGGCAATATGGCAGTGTTATAGATGCGCACTGACGTGGTCTGCTGTACACCGCGTTCTTTCTGTACACCTTTGCATCCTGGCTGACGATACCTAGGTTTTCCAACTTTTGAGAGACGGTCTATATGACATCAGCCATACCCCCCCAGTTGCATGTTTTTCTCTCACTTGCAATGCGAATGAAACCCTCTCGACCAAGAACCAGTTGTTTTAAGTGGTGTGTCCTTTCAAAAGACTGCCTTCCGCTTACCTAGAGCTAGGCACAACGTTTTACTTACGGCGACATAGTCGCAGGTTGTTAAATAACGTTCATCATCCAGTCTTTAGTTGGCACAAAATTTCTTTTACTAGCGCTTTTCAGTGCCTCCCTACTGATCGATTGTACGGTCATGCTAGTTGGTGGGTATATCATATGTTCATCGCGGGGTAGACAACGGATGGCTACTGAATGGCGGCTTTTATCGCTGATCTTATTCTCCGGTTCCATGTTTTTACCAACTGCCTATACTTAGTACCACATTCGGTGTTGACAGTAGCATACCAACCCTGTGCAGACGTCTAATGACTCAAAAACCGTTGACGGAAAGGTCCACTTGGAATGCCGATCGCCCGCTGTTGTACACGGTGTTTTCGACAATTTTGATAGATAACTCTACCGCATGTCCGGTAGTCACTGCGCGTTACCCCTTGTTGATAATACAGGCAGGTGTGGCCAGTAGTTGTATCTGTTGTGTATAAGTCCAGAAGATTTCCACTGCATTTATATTTTTGTATCTCCCAGCAGTCCTACCGAACGCATCATCCCAACGCTCCAGGATTGATTAAAGGAGATGAAGAGGTCTGAATGTTCTGGCCGAAAATTTACTTGTGCAAGCGAAGGCAGCGCGCTCCGAAAGGCCAAAAACCGCTGTAAAGCTGTTCCAACTTTGTCGGGAATCGCCAGTAGTGTGCGAACCACGAATCTCTAGAGGGTCATTAGATGAGTGTTGTATCATTTGATGACGTATAGGCCCTCAGCAAAATTATCGGTTCGCACTTGAACAGGATATAGTACCCCTCATCCTTCGGCCTCCTTGAGAAGTTGGGACCAGTCAACACCGCGTCGCGTCGCGTAAAGCATGATGGCACTATACCCTGTGCAAGTGCAAGTTAACCACATTGCTATTCAGCTCCTCTTGGTCCTTGACGAATAATGCTCAGCCACTAACCGAACGGTCGTGGGTTCGTCTTAGGATTCGTAAAACGCGGACTTTTGGCTATTTATGACTTTCAGTGATCAAAGCAGTCATGGAATGCTTCTTTGATTCTCAGCACAAATTGGCTTTGCTCCCTGGACTGGGCTTTCAACTGAAACTTCGGCATTTCTTGATCAACTGTTGGACACGGGCTACCTACACTCCAAATAGCATCTGATTAGGACGGGAACCCATAGACCTTAGCTAAATCCAGGTCGCCCGCCCGCTAATTAGCCTAGAATCAACAAGCTGTGGTACATAACTCTTGTATTTGAGTTTCGGTTGTGGTTGGCTCACTCAGCCATACACTAAGGTGTGTAGTGAGTGCCAACGGAAAATCTCCGCTCTTTAGATGTAAACGAAGTGAGAGGTGCTGAACGGAAGTGATTACGTGCTGATTTGTTTCCTAGACACTTGTGTCACCTTTGGTGACGCACATTTCTTTGACGTTAACAAGGGACGAACCCTGACACTCCTGAACTATCGTCCTGGTCCATCTGACGATTTGAAGGGTAGCTTTTGTTGGTTTCGATGGTTATATAGACAAGACAGGTCAAGTTGCTGTAGACTGATGTAGTACCCGCGTACACCTCGACCTGGCTCAAGGATGATTGTGTAGGCTGGTCTCGGTCATTAATTTAAGATATCGGTGCCTTCCTTGTGACTTGTTCCTTGTATCATCATCACCATCGACAATACTCCACTAGTAACAAATGCTGGCGCTTAAATGCCACCAGTTGTATGTGGGCTCAAATGCTGCTAACATACCCAAACCTAAATAGGAAGCTATTATGGCCACTAACCAAATTGTTTGGCCAAAAAAAGCCTAGCCTCAAAGCAGAGGTAGTTTGCGTAAAGCGGTCATTTTTAGAGAGCAGGCTGCCGCACTTATTCCACCCTTCAACCTGGAGGGCTGTATGACTGTATTTGTCAGATGACGTACTCTATAACATCTTCAGATTGGTTGAATTTTGTACACTCTCACAATTTTAAATCGGTTAGTTTACTCCTGGCTCCCACGAGACGTTGGTTGTGTGACCTCTTCATCAAGACCTGAGTAGCCAGGTGAGGATGACCGCGAACAATGCTCATCAGAAAATAACCGAGTCTCAACAACGAAGCAAACAATACAAATGCCACACTGGTTCTGTGGTACAAACGTGAAGTCATACGTCATCAAACTGTTTACGGAAAGCAAAAATACAAGTTGTGGGTTGATTCATAATTGGAATTAGAGTACAAGCCCTTAACTGCGTGCTTGGTAGGTAGCAGACCAGCGGTTCAAGGTTACAGAATTGTCGTAGTCAACGAAATGACCTCGAGATAGCCCAGTGGTCGAAGGCGCGAAATTACTAACAGGAGGGTCCGTGGTTCGAATCCAACCTTGGCATCTCAACTGTTCCTGTTGTGGCTTGGGCATCTCACTGGACCCTAGGGGTCGTGTGTGCCAGACTATAGTAAGGCCTGTGTTGTTGTATGGGTGCGAGACATGGTCTATGGGGACAGATGATGCGAGGCGTCTTCAGGTTTTCGACCACCGATTCCTCAGAAGCTTGGCTGGTTTTGGATGGCGTCAGTGTGTTAGTGACGAGGTGATTAGAAAACGGGCATTTGGTTGTGCTGCAGGCACCTCAATCCAACAAAAAATTTCCGCCGTTGCCTACGGACGATCCGCCAATCCATTGTGCACGAACACGTTTCCATTCATGCCCAGCTACTCTCTGTGTAACTGCTTCTCCGGTCGCTGTCACGTTTCGAGTTCATTGTTTTTATTTTGATAAGAAATCGGACGACCAACTGAACAAATTGAGTGAGTTTTTTCTCCAACTTGCGGTTGTTCAAAGTCATGGAAATCCGGTTGTCCTAATTAGCTAACTATTCCTGAACTTGGTCTTTTCGCTTCAGACGGTCAAGTAAGAGTGAATTAATTGGGTGAAATAAACTTGAACAGATGTTCGCTTGATCGCCTTCACACTAACGAGAAACCGACTTAGTCCCAGTCAATACAATTGCCAGACGATTTCACACGCAAAGCAGCCGTTATAACTTTTGTCTTGCCTCCTCAATCTAATTGGCTGGTTCTCAGAGACTTTCAGTCGCGCATTTTTCAAGAGTTTGTTTCTGTTATTTACCCTGTAATAGGAACCCCCACGGATAAAGACTATATACGTCTGATGGAAACACTGGAGCAGTACATCTTGGAGCTGGATGGTGTCGACATCCAGGGTCTGGATGAGCTACGCTCGATGCGGCGGTCTTCAGTGGTGGAAATACAACAGCTGATGCAAATGCTTGAATTTCGCTCTCAGACTAGTGTGGATTCCGCACCGGTGAATAACTCCAATCCGCCGGATTCATGATGGCTTTGAATGCGGTGAGTAGTTTCAAGTGTTTTTATTTTTCAGGTATTCTAGTGGACCACAGCTCATATTCAAAGCGGTCACGGAGGCTTGTATGTGGCTCAGACCAGCGCTTCTTTCGAGATGAACGTTGGGCTTCAAGTAGAGTTTGTTTAGGGAAATTAGACCAAGCCGACTACGAATTCGGTTGTGACGTTTTTTCGCCTTCCAGTTCGCCAACAGCACGGAAACTAATTATGCCACTTTCCGTTTTTCTCCTGCGTAGTCTCCTTACAGTGATGTCTCCTCTCACATTTTTTTGCATTGTTGTGCGTTTTCTTACACTGGGTGTGTGTAGTCAGGGTAATCAAGGAAAAAAACGTGAGTGCGATTTAGAGTACGGTTAATTACATCATCGGATTTCGGGTTGATTACTCCTCTCTTGCGAATTTTCCCCAATCAAATTAAATTGGAACGGTCGCAGTAAGCAAACTCCCGACAGTAGGTGTACAAAAACAACTGCCAACTGGGTGCAAAGACATTTTTAACTTGTTTGTTTCGCTCATCAAAATCTTACGGTGCTCGGTTTTCTGCAACGGTGTAGTGAGTCGATAGTGTGCCGCTTTATCTCTATTGATTAGGTTGGTGACGAACGGACGGCTTTCTGGCGGCCTAGCGAGGGAACGTGACTGATTGCGGCAAAGTTCTCCGCTAATGGGCTGCTCTCGAGAAAAGATGAAATGTTCCGTGATAAAAACTCGATTGGAAAGGATAAAAGCGGATTGAGCGAACTGGTGATAGAATAGAATTTGACTTCACCGCCTGATAAATGTATGGAAACGTAATCGGGAACCACGTCACTGATAGTACAGTTTTCCGGATTGAGGTGCCTGTTCGAAGTTAACGTTCAACGGAATGAAAAGGAGACAACACACCATGACTATTCGGTGGACATTAAAAATTGTTACGTTGGAGGATGTTGGATTTCAGTCAGCAGGTGTACAACAGTCCAGGGAAGTGGTGTGTGTACCAAATGGGAAAGAGGGCCCGTAGCTGCTTGCAGAAGCAGTGGTAACGCTCTTATTCGAGATACTGAAGTCAGGTGAGATCCCGAAGATTTGAACTTCATTGAGGAGCGGCACAAAAGTATGTTGTAGGACCAGTTTTAGTGGAACAAGTTCAAACGGTCTATAAAAATTCATGGGAAAGTGGAGTGAATGGTCCCAGAAGTTTTTGTGTCCGTATTCGCTTGTTGAGCGGAGATCTAGCGTCCCAACTCTGGCTTGGAATTACGGTTTTGCGAAAAAGTGGCTCCACTGGTATGGTTTTGAGCTCCAGTTTATCCCGTCACCGCATTTTCATTTACTTTGGTTTCTGGTAAGTACAAGTATTCAAACACAACTAAACGAGGTTATTGCAGCCAGAGGACCACATAAGTTGTCATTGGGGTGAGATGGCCCAAGTGGTTAGAGCGCGAATTTACTGACCGGAAGGTCCGTGGTTCGAACCCGACCTCTACCTCTCGACTTCCCCTGTTTAGACTTGGGCAACCTGGCAGTATCCCAGCCCTCGTGCTTGCTTCTGGTGGCATGGCCGTTAGGCACCGAAAGGGTGCTACAGCTGAACGGAAACTGTCATTCGTTCATCAAGAAAGTCTGGAGTGAACACAGTCACGCAGTCCCGATCCAGAGGGTGGCCAGTCTGTGGAATCAATCTTTTGCTGGACGCTTCCTCCGAAAGCAATTTCAACGGAGAAATACAACAAACGGTCAGTCGTACGTCTAATCNCCAGCCCTCGTGCTTGCTTCTGGTGGCATGGCCGTTAGGCACCGAAAGGGTGCTACAGCTGAACGGAAACTGTCATTCGTTCATGAAGAACGTCTGGAGTGAACACAGTCACGCAGTCCCGATCCAGAGGGTGGCCAGTCTGTGGAATCAATCTTTTGCTGGACGCTTCCTCCGAAAGCAATTTCAACGGAGAAATACAACAAACGGTCAGTCGTACGTCTAATCACGGCTTCTGGATGGTTCCTCGTGCCCGACTCACGGTTATTCATTCCACACAACACGACATTTTGAGGGGTGTTTGGACCGATACACGGTCGCGAGAATGTTGCACAACGGATTAAATTTATCGACATTATTCAACTGGTAGTCTCGAACATGTGTTCACCTGCTCTCCCCAATGCTGGTCCCGATAAATGGCGTTTATTGGAAACTGCAGTAGATCAGAAATCGGAAACGGACTGAATTATATCATTTTCTATCCGCATTTCAAAATACACCCACAATTGCAAGCAGCGACGCACAAACCGGCTAAACTCCTGCGCAGACACCCCTTACATGCGATAAGCTCCAATTTGTGTCTGTTCCCTCTGTCCGTCACACCGTCACCACCGGACAATCTTGTCAACAAGAGCTGAACTCTTCCAATATTCATGCCACGTTTTGTTTTTGTGCACTCTGTTTGGATTAGTTCGTGTACACGTCGTTTGTCCAGTTTGAAGCCTGTTGGCTTGTTAAACAATCGCTGATTTCCAATAGAGCACAAGGGTTTCCGTCCGAGCTTACAGAGCCCCCTTTCGCGCGCGCTTTTCAGTTGTTATGGTGATGATGTGCTCTGTGTGATTATCTGGGCTGTCCACCGGAGCTACCAGAATACCGCTTGTTTTAGCATACGAGCTGACAGAGTTGACACAGTATATTTTCCGCCTGTTAACTGTAATGTTTACTCTTAAACGGGGTTGTTAAATCCTCGGACTACTAGTCAGCGACCTCAGTCGATCGCGTACTTTCCGGGGAGGTTCTTTGGTTGCAAGTTGTGATCAGTCTTCATGTTGTTGGAGATGTCATTTAGTCCTTTGGTCGATTGATGAACGAAGAAACAACGTGGGATTTCGGGGAGGTTGTTTAGTTGCAAGCTTTGATCGGTCTTCATGTTGTTGGAGATATTATTCTATCTTTTGGTCGATTGATGAAAGCGCAAGCAACGCGGGGCTTCAAGTCCCCCGAAATGCAATGTCTCCCGGCAAGCAACGAAACGAGCGATCCTGAAGTGAACTTATCGTGAAGGGGTGTGTGTGTGTGTATGTGCANGGCGCGTGATGTTTCAAAATTTCTTCGGATCACGTGAGAGTCTGAGTCCGAAAGACCTGATGAGGTCATCGAATAGTGCCTTTTGCACTCCAGCGGGGATATGGTTTCCTATTGTTCTGCAACAAAGAAGTGTTTAACATACTCTGATGAGCATGGGAATAGGAAGTCGAGTGGAGGATGACATTGGCTACCTGTCGAGGAACAACTCGTTCAAGTCACCAGTGGGATCACCTGAATTAATTAATGCAGGTGTGTGTTCAGCACAGGATGTTGAGTTGAACCATGGCAAATACAACACGCGAATAAAGCGTTTTTGCCGACAAAGGATCTGGTGGTGGTGTCGCATGGCGATTGTACGGTACTGTACCGACCTGAGTTGATTAGCAGGCGCCTTGTAAACGATATGGGATCTTTGGCATGGTATCATGCTGTACGCCTGCTGTGGATCACAGTCTCCTTAATTCCTTCTTATTACAGGGAACCCCGGTCTGGATAGCCGACTGATAGACTGGTGCGCTTGGCCAAACCAGAAAAAGTCAATGAACGTGCGAGCCAGCGGCTCTATTGATTACTGTAGCGTACAAGCGGTCAAAAAAGCGATACTAAGAATACGACTCATCTGTCTCAACGAAAACGGTTATTCCATTGGCTGTTATGTAGTCCCGTTACGTTCGGAGCTGGTTCTCCAAATGACGCCGTATCTGCCAGATTCTGAAAGACTGCGCTGGTTACCATTATTCTAGTTCCAGAAGCTAGCCAGGTTGGGCTTTGTTCCACCGAGTTGCCTCATCGTGTGTCGGATATATTCCGCTGCACAGCAGCAACAGACTGAGTAAACTAGATCGGTATAGCACCGCTATACCGCTGAATCTATCGCCACCGTGCTTGTTCTCGAAACAAAGTTGTTCATGGCAATCGAACCGTCCGATTACATCTGATTGCACTCCACTGTGTTTTGACTTTAGAAATTCCCCGTTTTCGTTCCTATTCGAAGTAACCATTCTCGAAATAACTAACCAACTCGTAGGACATCTTAGCAAATATCGATTGAAAATACCTTTTGATGACTCCTAGAAGCTCAATATCTCCAGATGCGGTCGTGTAGATTTAGCAACCACTGTACTTTTCGTGTTCCTCATTCGCTCAGTTTTGTACCCGATCCGTCTTCCAAGTAGCCTCAAGTGTTCAATCTGGGACTTTGATCTGTTTTCTGTTGTTGTTTTTTTAAATCTCAAAGGTTTTTACTGTTGTCAGTATGCTTCAGCTGTAACACCCTTCCGGTGACTAGCCTCCATGTCACCCGCCAACATGCCTCAGACAGTTGCGGACAGAAACCAGCATGACGCTTCTTCCATCTTAGCTTTGTACCTTTTCAGCACCATTCGAGGGAAGGTCTGGTCATCTAAGTGTACTTCTTTCTTTGTAATGTACTACTCATAAGGTTGCTGAAAATCCATCGACAGCCCACGACCGGTTTCGCCCTTCTTGGGGCTCATCAGGTAGGCGCAGTCCCCGGGTTTCCGTCAACCTTGTGTTCTACTTGAAACCAAATTGCACGAAATTAGCGAATATACACTCATTTGCTAACTAATTTGGTTCTTTCGAGAGACTCACCTGGAGCCCAGCTGAATCTCTCGTTTATGATGTTCTCAGGCTTCTTGTCTTTCTTCTTGCTTGTCTATAGATCGGTCCTTAAAGTCATTTCACTTGTGCATCTTACCGCGGACGGGTTTTCTGACTCCGTCGGGGATTCGGTACTTTGCTATTCAACGATTCTCACTTTTCATCCAATTTAGATCGTATGTGCACTCTGTTCTGTGATCTTCCTTCCGCCTCACGTTCAATTTCAACCGGCTTAACTCACGGATCCAACCGATTTTCCTACTATCGTCACCCGTCCCGAAACATGTTCAACCAATCGCCACATCTCTCGAATTCCATGCTCCGCATAGCCTTGTTTTAGATTTGGAGGTTGCTTCTTCCTACGCCTTCTGGCTTCGGCCATTGTTTCGATATCTCTCCGCAAGTGATCCATCTACTGCGGGGTCCGAAAAACTCACGAAACGACGTCCTGTCGGTTGCTTCTGTATATTCCCTTCCCGCCCCATATTTTGACCGTGCCTGTTCCATGTTATCCATAACAGTCGGCGATCAATAAAACTTTATGGAAGGTTCGGTCTTATTTCTTTCGGGTGCCGACTTACTGACCGAAGCGTCCGTGGTTTGAATCTAAAGCTGGCATCTCGATTACTCCTGCCTAGGCTTGGATAACTTGGCAGTATCTAAACTCTGATACTTACTTCTGGTTGCCGATAGATTACTATTATTTCGGGGGGGGGCGCTTTCTTATTCGGACAATAGAGGGGGAAAGGCATGAACTGCACCACATTGCAGTGCGTTCTTGATTTGGTAGGTGGTGAACAGGGCCGCAGCCAACCCCATGCTGAGTGTATCAACCGAAACCCATCGTCTTTTGGTTGCTTTGCCGACTGGCTCCAGTTTACAAGTACAAAATGCCCTCGAAAAGCGGATATCTGAAGGGCAGACGATTCGAAAAAGCAGGGCAAATGACTTGTCCCGACTTCTCCATTCCTGGAAGAGATGTCTCGTAAGAACTGCGACTCATATGCGGAAAAACCGAGGCTAGAGAGCTGTAGCGCTTTCTTTTCTTCGTTACGGATGCGCGTCGTACAAGATTACTTTGCGTAAATAGAAGAAGGCGACAAAGGATCCAAGTAGGGTCAAATGTCCCGTAGAAGTGAATTGGCCACGGTGTTACGGGTAGTATCGTGTGAGGTGATAGTGCGCACCGTCATCGATTATAGTACAACCACGCCTTGTGAACTGCTAAGATATGTGAATCGATCGGCAGGTGCTCATTCCGAAGTTTTAGAGGAGCACAGAAAACCTTGAGGGATAAAAGGTGCGCGTCGAAACATGGGGACAATTGCGATATTCTGTGCGAGCGCATAATAGTCAAACAAACAAATGTTGTCATTTGCAAAATAATAGTTCATTAATCCATCCCTCCAGACGTAATCTCGATGCCAAGATTCATGGTTCTTTGGAGTGTGCACTTCATGATGACGTCGATGTCAAAGTTGAGCGAAAAGAGGACGCGATAGACCTGACGAATCCCGGTGTCTGTGAGGAAACTTGTAGACAGTATACTGTACACCCCCAACGCGGTCGGATACGAAGAATGTACACGAAAATCAAGGACATTCCCTTCCGACCAACAATACTTAGAAGGGCTAATCTATCCACAGTGTGGAAAGATCCTTAAGTCGAGATAGCCCCTTTCAGGCTGAAACTTCGCTTGATGCTCTGGAACCTGTGGCTCACGCGCCGACATCAGGAGCCGCTATGTGAAGGAAACCAGTGCCCGTGTGACTTATACACCTGTCGCTGAGATAGTCAGCTCGGGTACCTTTTTTTTGAACACGGGTACGATCAGCGGTTGGTCTTCTACGGACCCAATCTAGTCAACTCGGAACACCCTCCATCTTTGAACAACGCTGAAAGGAGCTTACCTGGCCCAGCAACCCGACGGCGCTTCAAAGCCATATTAACACTGCATTAACTGAGAGACGAACTAACCTCAAGTCGGTCGAATGAAAGTCATAGACACAGGGGTCACCCAAACTGTTGTTAAAGATATTCAGCTCAATGATCTAGACGCAGGTGTTTATTATATACATATATTATACATACTCACCTATGCAAAGCAATTTAGGCTCTGTGTTACGGATTAGGTGAGGAAGTTCCTGTCTGTCCCACGTTGCACTGGCCTCCATTTCTTGAAGGCCCTTCTGCCCACACACAGGCTACATCTGAGCTGTTGTCTAATCGCTCGCCCAACCGAACTGTGCTCTGAGGCCAAAGGGATAGAGCACCTGAGAACCACTCAACTGCTCGTGTAGTGACGAAGCGTCTGCCAGGTTGGACGAAGGGAGCCTGTGTATAGGCTTCGAAACGCCATAAGCAGAATTCCCGACGTCACTTATAGCCTTGTTTGCTTCACCCCGGTTGCTATCAATATCCTCTGAGTAGGCCACCTGTGATGCGCTGCATAGTAAGGTTTGGTATAGGTATAATTCTCTAACTTGTGGTTCACAGAACATGTTACTTGTTCACTGGGGCCGCGTTTCTGGGGTTTACTGGGAAGGTTTGACGGAAATTTGCACCGAACAAATGCGTGATGTGAACCAACCTTTGTAGTTCAAAACGATCGCCAATCGATGGCTGAACCACCCCGTCGGTAGCTGATGGCATTGCGGTCAATTTGATTCCAACGCTGTACAGCTTTAGTGAGACGCCAAGTAGCAAAACAGCACCCACTGCGTCTAGACTCGGGATGAAACTTGCGTAAGATGTCCACCCTTATCACTGCGCTTTGTGTTTCAGTTATGCACACCACTAAGGCGTGTTTCTTATGAACCGAGGTGCACTGCAATCTGCTATTATGACCCTTCATGGTCAACAAAAGGATAGTGCTTTTCGATGAATCAGAGCTATAATTCTTTGGATACGACAAACGAGGAGCATAGAGTGTTTCAATCGAAGTAGCCAGTTGGACAAAACAGAGTTGACCGCACACAAGTATCCACTCGGGCGATGAGTCTCCAGTTCACGAAATTGGGGCTATATCAACAACACCCGTGCAATTCGATGCAGGATCGCTTGAATTTCGTAGTCTGTGGCGTCCAATTAGAAAGGGTGCTGTACGCTCCACAGCTGTAATCGTATCTTGTACTCAGAGATGTCTAAAGGACGCGTGTTAGTGGTCGATCTGCTCAAAAATTCTTACTTTAAAGTGTGCAATAAACTCAGAACCGGGCCTAAATAAGTAAATCGGAGCAGTGAGTATGCTGGTTTTGTACAATGTATCAAGTCCATAGGTGCCGGACTAATGTGCCTACAGTTGGAGTGTATATAAAATTAACTGTCAAACGGGACTTCATAGGAGTTAAGAAACGTGGACGACTTCAGCATGAGCATGCTTCTGCCTATTCGCCATGCTGTATGCAGCGAATGCGGCGACCCGGCTGATTTGATGTTTTCTTGTGCAATTCATGGTTGTCTGTGATGATACCCAAACCTAGACGGGAGGACGATTAAGAGCCTCATCTGAAGACGTTGGCTCTAAAGCGTGAGGGCAATGCAAGGGCGGTTGGTGTGCGGCTATTCGATTAGCCCAAGTTTCAAATGACACAGCTGTTCTAATCATCGAACTGGCGGCCCAGAAAACTTTTTGATATCTCTATCCAGCCTGGCGGGAGAGACTTTGTGAATGCGGCATGGACACTCCCGAGTACAGCTAAACGGGTTAGGGACGTACGCAAAGCATCGCACCACCATAAGATGTAGTATCCTCGCGACAGGTTTGAACCCAGTCACTTTTTATGGAGAGGTTCGGTCTTATCGATCTCTTCAGGACAAAGTGAATGCCTGGGTTATCGTGCCGTAATTCGGCGTTCATCCCGTAAAGCAATATATGTTTCTTTTTGATGGAAAACACCCGTTGATAGCTGGCTCCCTACTGTCAGTCAAGCATTCAAAAGTTGAAAAGTGCGATTGCTCTCATTAGAAAAAAGAGGTGTTTGAGGTTTTGTATTCCCCTTAAAGGCAACCTGACGCTCATGTGGCGCACAAATAACCAATCAGGAACTTAGAACTTTTGAGATTTAAGAAGATCAGTGCTCAAGGAACAGATTGCGGACCTGGCGGTCCGCAGTTAGAAACCGACCTCACACCTCGATTGTTGCTATTCAGATGTGACATACCTACGGATATCTCATCCCGCATGCTTTCATCGCATTGCATTGCAGTTATGCATCACCGTTAGAGGAATTAGCTTGAGTGTAGCCGTTCTCCTTTTTCCGTGATCATTCCTCAGAAACAGCCAACTGATTGGTCCGTTGAAACTTGTTTCAATGGTTAGGTCGCCTAATTCGCGCAACTTCGTATGGTATCCAGCCTGGTATGTACTGCACTCCACTTCAGAGCCTGGAACAAACGGAGCGCAAGAACCGGTGGTGAAAGCGCACACGCAAGGTCGCCTAATCGCGCAACTTCGTATGGTATCCAGCCTGGTATGTACTGCACTCCACTTCAGAGCCTGGAACAAACGGAGCGCAAGAACCGGTGGTGAAAGCGCACACGCAACCGGTCGATTTTCAAATGAACCTATCGGATGCTTCACATACTTTTGAGTAACTCACTCTGTCCAATCACCAAGCGGTCCTGAATTGTGTCGACCCAAATCAGCGAAGGTTGTCACTTTTATGGAGAATGAAATCCTGCAGTCTGTCACCCTTCCAAAAATGAGGTCACAGAAGCTGATAGTCAGTTATTTCAGGAAGGTCGTATGTGCTGTTGCTTTACTGGAGCGACCGAACGGTGCCGAATAAATCAAGCCCCATACCATTGTCACTAATAAAAAAACATTGGAGCATAAAAGACGTTGATGCTTATAGCCTCATACCATTGTCACTAATAAAAAACATTCCGTAATCGAAGGGTGAGTAGCGCTTTACCTTGTATAAATGAGAGTAAATCACATTCACTCGTGACTCAACAGTTGTTTTCAGCCACCAGAGGAACCAGTACGATAGGAATTCCGTGATCGAAGACTGGGCAGCGCTGTATCTTGTATAAGTGAGAGTTAATCATATTGCTGGTCATCCGCTCAGCCACTAGAGGAGAAGCTACATGTTTGGGTTGTCCTGAAGATTGGTGAAATGCTGATGGCTGATAGCGCCCGAATGGGTCAAACAGATGTATTTTTTCGGTCTTGACTGACTTCGCTTGCAGGTTCCAAAACCTCGTCATAATACCAACCAGTAAAGATTTGGCCAAATTTGTGGAGTCGCGCATATTACAGCAATGCGTATCTTTAGCTATTGTACGTCAAATTTCGCTAAGAATAGAACAACTATTCAATATTTTCACAAAGGAAACTACCTACAAGGACTGTGCCTACCTGATGAGCCCCAAGAAGGGCGAAACCGATCGTGGGCTGTCGAAGAGTTTTCAGCAACCTTGTGAGTAGTTTCCTTTATGAAAATATACCGTGATATCTCGAATATCGTGCCAACTGAATCATGAGGCGGCCTGTGTGAAAACCAAACTGTCGTAGAGTATCACAAACGGGAGATTCATTTGGGTC